TGGAGATGGTGCCGAAGAGAGGATTGAGGTTAAAAGAGGTCATGTGGGTGGCCTTCATCCCATATCACTGGTGTCCTCATAAGAGGAGGAGATTGGGACACAGACACCCGCAGAAGGAGGGCCAGGTGAGGGCTCGGGGGAGATACCATTCACCAGCCGGGCCGAGGGGTTCCGGAGGAGCCAGGCCTGCCAAGGCCTTCATCTTGGACTGCGCCTCCAGAGCCACGTGGACACAGATGTCCGATGTTGAATCACCTGGTCTGTGGGATCTCGTGGTGGTGGCCTGAGCAGACAAAGGGGCTGGGGGGGGCGGTATCGGAAATGATAGTTGTCCATTTGTCCCAAGAAATGCTCTCTCTAAGACCCAGCCAGTGGCTTTTGTAGAGATTCCAACAAAGAAGTTGCCTCCAGAGACCCCTGAGGGCCTCTGGTGAGGTGGTCCTGCTCCTGCTGGAGGGAGGGTCTGCGCAGGCGGTGGCTTTTGACATGGGGAAGGGTGCTTGGGGGCTTGCAGCGTAGACCCGAGGTACAACCTTCCATGTCCCAGGAGAAGAATCTCATGGGGGAGTTGGGAGTCATTGCCTCCTCCAAGCCCCAGCTGTTGGGACAGGCAGGTGGCTACCTTCTCATCCAATGGTGGCCCGGGTGACATTTCCTGAAGAATCAGGAGTGGCTGTGGGTGGAACTGCAGATACCAGGGCCATGACACACTTGGCCATCCTCCCTGTACCTCCACCAACTGGTCCTCCTAGCCCCAGGATCTGCCCGCCAGGCCAGCAGGCAAGGGGCCTTCCTACTCCAGGTGTCTGGAGGGACCCGAAGAGGCCTGTGTCCAAAGTGGTGGAGGTGGTTGACTGGGCAAGGCCCTGCAGGTGAGCAGGTGGGCAGGGGCCACACCCCTCCACTGAGCGAGAACAGCTATCCCTTCGACCCCTGTCCTGGAGCAGGGCCTCCTGAGCACCCTAAATCTCCCTCCCCTGAACCTCCTAGGTCTCGGGAAGCGTGCAGACTCTGCCCTCTTCCTGGGGTATCCCCCCCCAGGATGTCCCATGCTGGAAGAATCCTGCACCTCTGTGCCATGGCTGGTGACTTCACTCCCGGCCCCGAGGGACAGGTGGGTGTGATCTGTCCAGGGCTTCCCAGAGACTGGCAGAGAGGTGCCACGTGTAGAAGTCTGTCTCTCAGGCCTGGAGTTGAGCCCTTTGCCAGGGTGGAATCAGCTTATGCTTTTGAATAAAGGGCCGCTCTCTCCCTCCCTGCGCTGGGGCCCGATCAGGCAGCACGATAAGCGGACTGGCAGCTGTCCTGGCAGAGTCTGAATCATTGTTGTGCAAACATGACCCTCCTTAAATGCTGTCTGCCAACCTCCTTATCTGGTTCGCAAACAGAGCTCAGCCATCCTTAGCCCCAGCGGAGCCACAACAAAGTGGCCCTGGAGAAGCCGCCTGCCAGGAGGAGCCCAGCCAGTGGGGGTGACAGCCAGAGCAGAATCGCCCTAGAGCGGGCCGGGGACCCCGCGGTCTGCGTCCACACTGCGATAGGTGGATGTGCCTGGGAGCGTAGGGAGGGAGGGCGGACGTGAAGGCCTGATCTGCCGCTGTGTGAGCAGCTCCTGCCCCTCAATCCAGGTCCCCTGACAAGGGCCGTGGACAGGTCCCTCCTCTCGTGCTGAGGGGCAGCAAGGCCTCCTTGCGTGTGTGCCCCTGTGTGGAGCAGCTGGATTAGAGCCAGCCCTGCAGTAGCCTGGGCCTCCATTCTGCTGGCCCCTACCCGACCCCCTCTGCAGACGGAGGGAAGACCAAGGAATGGCAGCACTGGTCAGCAGTGGTGCCCCTTGTCCTGGACGACACACTCCTGTGGTCCATCCCACCTCTGGACCGGGGAGCAGTGGTAGCTAACAGTGAGTGAGCGCTTCCTGCGTGCCAGTCACCTGCTGCGGACTTCACATGTCCTGTCCTGTTTAATCCTGCCCACTGCCCACTGCCCTCTGGGTTGGAGCTGTTACCATCTCACATCACAGAGGAGGAGACCGGGGCACAGAGAGGTACCCAGCGGTCCCCGGGTTAGCAGGAGCAGGTGAGGATGTGGGATTTGAACCCAGACCTTCTGGCTGCAGTTCTGGTGCCTCGTTGCTCTGCTGCCTCTCACTCCACTGAGCACACATCTCCCTGGAGCAACCTGTACAGGGCGGGCGGCCTGGCCTCCCCTTCCCCGGGCACCTCTGTCCCTGTGGGTATCGAGGTCCTCCCTTTCATTCCTTAGTTAACCCCAGTTTTCATTCAATGCCTAGTGGACGCCATGTGCCTTGTCTGGCTCTGAGGACAGAGGGGACAAAAACGAACAGGTGCAGCCCCTCCCCTGGGGGGGATTCAAGTCTCTCTGGGTCCAGCCTTCCTTGAGGTCCAGGTGGAGATCTCTGGGGAGCGGAGTCTGAATTGAGTGGGCAGGACGTGGGTGAACAGGCTCGGGAGGGTGAGCGAGGCAGTGCAGGAGGGCCGACGTGGACGCAAGCTGAGGGCGCCCTGAGCGCTGCAAGACATCCTGGGCGTGGGGACGGTCCTGGGGGGGCTGGCCATGGCTGCGGGGAGCCGCTGAACCAGGAGGCTGAACCAAGAGGCACGATGAGGAGGGCCTGGGGCGGCTCTGGGTGCAGTCCTGAAAGTTGGAATCCTGAAGGCCCCAATCCCCAGCTGCAGTTCCCATGCGGGAGGAAAATGAGGCTCTGCACCAGGGCGGGAAAGCTGGAGGCCGGGAGGGGATCCGCCTTCTGGGTTGCAGGCAGCGTAGTCGCTAAATTACTCAGTCGCGTCCTGTTGCTGCTCCTCACGGGTAGCACCGAAAACTGGCCTTTGTTGGAGAAGGCAGGCATCAAGGGTCTTGGTGACCTTCTACAGCAAGCACGTGCGTGACAGCTCCTCCCCAGCGCTACAAAACGCATTAGAGGCTGGACTGTTCTCCCTTGGGAATTTGCTTATGGACAGAGACGGACTTCTATTTCCTACTAACAGCCTAAAACAGACTTCGGGTGCAGGAGCATCCCTTGAGCCCAGCAGCTCAGGGCCCGCCTGGGCACCAGAGTGAGAACCTGTCTCAGGACAACAAAAACCAGCACGTTCGACTTTGGCAAATAGATGGCACTTTCAAAGCCAATCTCATTTTTTAAAATCAAATACACAATTCACGTTCCTGTTAGATCCCCGAATTCTAGACCTTATTTGCAGGATCATGTATCACAACGGGGGGAAAGCACAGCACTTTAAAAATGCTTATCTGGAGATTTGGTAGACTTGGCAGAAGAGAAGGATTTCAATGGAATCTCCACGCCGTGACGACATCTGGAATTAGGTGTGATCAAGGCTTCTGAAGGCACATTTCAAGGTGTTACAATAAAGTTAGTTTTCCCATTCAGCCCAGAGCATCTGGCAGAAAATTCAGATGAGTGGATACAACAACAATAAGAGCTTGAGTTTACAAATGCGCCCTTTGTCTGCGTTGGCTTTCCTTCAGCTGATGGGACTCCCGGAGCTTTGGATGAATTAAAGCTGCGTTTGCCCGAAGCAGCCAGTGACGTTACTGACGCGTTTGAAAATAGTTACGTACGAGGAGGACAAGGGGACAGGCACCAGCGTCCCTGTTTGGTCTTCAAAATCCCCGTATTTGGGGTCTGCGTGCGAGTGCAAGAAGAGTGAGTTCCACACTCCCCAAGAACACCAGGCCACGGCCCAGACAGGGGGACGGTTTCACAGGGAGGCCCACGCGGGCGGATGTGGGGTCACAGGAGAATTTCACCAAGGGTGGCACCAAGGAGGAAGCAAATGTGAGCGTACTCTTCAAAGGGAGCCATGTCCCCAAAGAAAAAAAAACCACTGTGGGTTCTGATGGGAGACTTCGAAATCTGGTCGATGATCGTGAACATCATCCTGCTCTTTGCCTTTCGTAGTTCCAATATTCTTTTGTCCTTTTAAAATTTGCATTCTTCTTTGAAACAGCTCTTTTCTCCGCGGTTTCAGTTTGTCAGTGTTGGTGACTTTTACCGCTTTCTACGCTGTTCATTTCATCTTTGCATCATTTCCAATGCAGGTATAAACGTGCAAAGGCTTTTAGAGAGTCCTGATTCATCACAGGCAGGTGTTCTGTTTTGTTTTTTTGCAAATTCGACTCCTTGAAAGTGTGTCATTCAACGTGGACTTGGTGTGTGCGTTGTGTCATGTGAAAATGTTGAAATGTCCTTAATAAAGTTGTCTTTTTTTTCCTTTTTGTGAGGTGTCATGTTTATATACTGGCTTCTGTGAAGGATGAAGTGTCTCAGGGTCTCGGCTTTCCAGGAAACTGGACATGATGGGTGACCTGACGTGGTTCTTTAGTGATCCACCGTGGCGGTCTGCCCAGGTGCTTCACACGACCGCAGGTGTGCGCTGGTGCTCGCCATCACAGCGCATCTCCCGGCGTTTTACTTTGCACTGTTTCTTCATGGATTTGGTTCACTGGCTGGTAGCTGTTAGACCTGTGCGACTGTCACGGGTACGCCTGAGGGGTTATGCCTCGAAAACGCTGTCTATTTTCTTTTGTAAAGTAGTCTGTGAAGTGTTATGTCACTTTGTTGTGGTGGGGAGACAGAATCTTAAGTTGCTGAGGCTGGCCTCAAACCCTCAATCCTCCAGGCTCAGCCTTCTGTGCCTCTGGGGCCACAGGCGTGTGCCACAACACCCAGATCTTTCAGGTCTGCATGTCTCTCCAACAAATTTCCTTGTTAAAGAAAAAAAAAAAGGCTTTTGGATAAATATTTTAAAATTATTTTTTCCAGAATTTTGTCTTCAGAATTTTAGACTTTGAGGATTTTTATTTTGCAGAACTTCACCATTTGGGAGTGTGGCCCAAACCCCGCCCAACACTCCAGTCACTCTTCCGAGTGCTTTATAGAAACGAACACAACAACCCCACAGTCATCCTCATTTTATAGATGCGTGATCTGAAGCACAGAGAGGTTGAGGCAATTGTCAAGGCCACACAGCTGGGAAATGATAGAATTAGGACTCCAGAAACATTCAGAGCTCTTCCTGAGACTGGCATTGACTGTGGAGAAATCTCTGCCAGGGCCAGGAAGAGAATTTTCAGAGGTGACGGAGGCAATCTATCCTCTGCCTCTGGGGGATCAGCTTGTTTGAGTTCTCTGAGAGTCTCTGTGCACGTGCTGCCGAGGAGATTGCCACCAGACAGCCTCCCCACCAGGAGCAGCGGGTGTCGCCAGGAGACACTGCTCCAGAGGCGTGGGCTGGTGCAGCTCTGCACCTTGGGTGGAGAGGGACGTGTGGTGAGCAGAGCAAGAGGCTGATCCCCACCTGCCCGATGGGCAGTGGGAGCCCGAGCAGCTTCCAAGAGGGACCTGGTGGGACCGTGTGTCTGAAAATCCACCCTGCGATTTGGTGAGTGGGCTGCAGAATTCAGACTTGACGCAGTGGCCACCAAGAGCCGGAGGAGGACGTGGTGCGGGGTGGGATGGTGAGAGGTGGTAAGCTCAGGGGAGGACACTGGGTAGGTGCTGGGACCCGACAGTGAGCTCAGGCTGTATCCGGACGGGGCCGTGTGCATCCCACGCAGGGCACCCTGTGTGAGGGACGCTGGCATCATCAGGGACAGAGTCACCGCATGGGGAAGACAGGGAGAGGGGCGTCACGTGGCCTGGGTCCGTGGCCACTGCTAGTCATGCCCAGAAAGCCCAACGAGGACCTTCCAAGGTCCCCTACAGGGTCAAAATCCCATTTTATGTTCTTGGGAGATAATTTCAAGATAAAACAAATTAAACATAAAAAAGTTGCAGAAATACCAGAAAGACATTCTTTTCCCAGCCGACTTGGCCACACAAAGCCCACCCACCCCAGGGTCCCCACTCGAGGCCTCCTAAAGCAAGGACACTCCCACCTGACCATCAGGACAGAAGGGGCTCTAGCACAGCAGGGCCCCAGCCTGAGCAGGGCCCCAGGCGCCTCGGGGCGGTCTCCACAGCCGCTCTCAGGCCGGCCTCGGTGGCCTGGGGCTGTCAGAGGCTGACTGGGAAGACCTGGGACCACGTTCTGCATGTGGCTCCTCAGGGAGATGCAGGTGCTGGGCCCTTGCTGGCCACAAGGCACGAGGAGGTGGCTTCTCGCTGCTGTCCCACCGGGACGCCCGGCTCTCTGTGGCTTCTCGCTGACGTCCACTTCAGCAGGGAAGTGTCTTTTGGCCTTTTCCATCTGGTCACCGGTAAGGATGTCAGGAGGGGGTTCTCAGAAATACCCCACTTCTCACTGCCTTCCCCCTCGCGTCGGCCCTTCGGGATGATCCTTGGCCAAGTTGACTGCGGCGAAGGCAGCCCAGAGGGCCATTCGGAACGTGGTATTTGCTCATAAATGAGTCTGCCTTTCAGAGCCCAGGAGGTGGACGGGTGTGACCACGCGCTCTCGGGCTCCTTCCCCATGACAGCCGTGCCCAGGGCGGGGGTGGCCGAGACGCACCCCAGATGTACCTGACCGCTCCGTGCCAGGCCAGCAAGCTCAGACCTGAACGGAGCCCCCACATTCCACCCAGCCTGACCCCAGGAGGCTCGCGGTCCTCCAGGGCACCACGGGAAGGCCACGAGGGGCTGCAAGCAGGGGTGACACGTGACCATTGCAGCAAAAGTGAAACGCCACAGACGCAAACCCGAGCCAGCGGGAGCCTGGCCCGAGGGCCTCGAGCTTCTGGCTGGCAGACACCTAGGAGCCTCCAGCCCTGGGGGGGCCTGGGTAGCACGAGGGGAGCCAGTTCCAGTGGGAGGAAGGGTCAGGCTCCCGGGGCGGCGACCCGGGGCTCACGGGCGCCCCAAGCCCGTGTCCATACCTTTGGTTTCCTTGAGCAGCTCTTCGGTGAACTTGACCACCTGCACCACCTCCACCCACGGGAAGCCTTTGCCCACCGCGAAGATGACGCTGTCATAGATGGTGTCCAGCAGGATGCTCCTGCGCGCGTCCCTCAACTCGTCAAACGCTTCCCAGTTCAGGAGTCTCCGCAGGTGCTCCCGACCTTTAGGTTTCTGCAGGACACGGCCAGGAGTGAGAGGCCCACCCCCAGGCCCTCCGACCCCGGGGACAGGGAGGGAGGGTCTCCCGGGAGAATTCCGCTTTCTTCCTCCTCCCTGGGGACTTGTTCTTTCGTTTGAACTCATTTCTCTGAGACTCTTGACGCAGCCACCGCAGGCCCAGGTTTGTGGGCCTTCAGTGGGTCTCAAGCTCTGAATCACGGCCTGATCCCTCTTCCCTAAAACAGTTTGATTTTCCCCCAAAGACTACTTTCCACGGTTTCCCCGTGGACGGGATCGTGGAATCCGTACTAATGTGCGGATGACCGGCAGAGGAGGCGCCTGGCGGGCCGTGTTGCACGGAAGGAAGGAAGCTCAGCCATGGAACTGGGGCACTCACTCTGGCAGAGCCGGAGGGAAAGGCTGATGCCGTGAGACCCCGCTGCCTGAGAGTTCTTTAGCCCTTCCAGAAGGTTCTCATAGGTCACCAACACATGTAGGAGATGCAAAGGTGTGGGGTGATGGTCTCCTCCCCATGGTCCACTGAGGGGACCCTGCCTGGGGACACCCACCCTGCCTGGGGGTGTCAGTCTCCTGGGCCAAGGACGCTCTGGCTGGGAGGACCCTGGCACCATGACTGCTCGGATGGCACAGGAGCCTGATCCCTGTCCTCTCCACGGCCACTCTCCTCTACCTGACCCAGGCGGCCCGCCTGCCCTTCTCCCTCAGGTCATTGCAGGCCCCTGCTCCGCACACTTGTGGGCACAACTGCGGAGAGCCCCCGGGGTGTCGGGCTCCTGGGGGGCAGGAGCGTCCCCCTTCTCTCCAGCGGGCTTGGCCACACCAGGGCTGTCCCTGCAGGCCCCAACACTGGCCACCAGCAGGGGTGGGCGAGCCTGGAATGTGGCCGTACCCATCACAGGAGGAGTGAGAGACAGGTGGATGCCCGGGGTGTCCCCTGAAGACACACCGCCCTGAAGAGACGCCGCTCTGCAGTGACCCCGGCACACGCCCCATTTCTGGACCCGTGGGGCAAACTTTCTCTCAAGTCCCGCTGTCTCTTTCTTCACCTGGAATTGGAAGACTTCTTTCACTCCCTGGGGTGTTAGGAGTGCCATGGCCCTGAATCCAGTTGCCAAGAGACAGGCCGGCACTGCCGAGCCTGGAACCTGGGGCGGGTGGGGTGCAGCTTTGTTGGGTCATGAGGCGCCCGGGCTCCTGGGTGGCTTCCTCTGGCTCCTCCTCTCTGCTGTGCTCTGGGTCCGCCTGTGCTGGAGCAGGGACCTCGGTCCCCTTCCCTCTGTCACCCCTCCCTCGCAGGCTGTCTTCCATCGGAAGCGAGGTCCGGGCATCACCCTCCCTCCCACGCATGCAGGGCCCCCCTAGTTCCAGCAGGACCCAGGACTCCCCTTCCTCCAGACCCTGAAACCCCATCCTCTGTCTTCAGGTCCCCGTCCTCCAACACCTGGTCCCCTCAGGACCTGCCGACCCCACTTCTTCCCGGCAGCTGGCACCCCCGTGTTTCTAGCACCGTGGTTCCACTTCGGGGTGCAGAGAACAGCTCTGCAGGGGACCCCAAGTTCAGCACCTGAGCACTGCACGCCGGGACCCGGGGTGGCTTCGCCCTTTGTCCACCTGGAAGCCCCTGGCACCCCTGGTCACCTGGGGGCAAGTCTGTCTCTCCCCCGCCTCACTGCCCATGTCCAGAGCCCCACTGAGGAGGCCAGGGGACACCGGCAGGGTGGGTCTTCCCTGAGACGCACCCCAGCCCTCACCTGCTGCCCCTGAGCCTGCATGGTGGCCCTTCTGGGTGTCCTCTCAGGTCCCTCTTCTCCTCCCTCAAGCGGAACCTCCAGCTCTTCTTGACTCACCCTCCCTCCTCCCCACCCACCTCCAGGTCTGCCGCCCTCACGGTCACTGAGTCCTTTCTCCTCTCTGCACCCCTGGCCCCCGCCTCTGTCGTGGGGCATAGGGACTTCTTACCAAGTCTCTGAACCTCCCCCTCCACACACAGACGCATCAAAGTGGACTGTCGTCTTCGTGCTTCGCAGCCTTCCTGGACACTCAAGGGCAAGCCCAGAGCTCCCCCGTGGCCTGGAGGCCCCCCTGGCCGGGCCCCTCTTTCCCCTCCAGCCCAGCCTGGCCGCTTGCCCACTCGCCTCCGTCCCCCTCCAGGACTTTGCCTGCGGACAGCTCTTCTGGATGGATCTTCCCCTGCTCTGCCCGGGTGACTCTCCTGCTGCTTCAAGGCTCACTCTCCCTCAGGGACCCCTGAATCCCTGGCACACATACTCATAGCACTCAGTTGTCACCTTGTGATCGTCCCCACCTCGTGATGATTGTTTTGAGGCCAGGTTGTAAGGCTGGAGGAGGTCTGGTCTGGTTTATGGCTGTTCTATTCGCCACGTGCACACCCAGCATAGAGTAGGCGCCCTTGGCTCATCCAGTGGCTTGGCTGTGGCTCTGGTGACGTGGCTCTGGTGACGTGGCTCTGGTGACGTGGCATCGGTGTGTCTGTGGAGGCTGCCTTCCCTCTAGCCTGCTCATCTTGCCAGGACATGGACACATCCTGCTCCCTCTGGAGCCCTGGTGCCTGCTGCAGGGACCCAGTGACTACTCTCATGGCCAACAAGGTGATGTTGACAGAGGTGACCAGTTACAGACGCAGCCGCCCTGCTCTGGCCTCACGTGGGCCGCACCTGTGTTCTCAAATCTTACCTGAGACTCTGCAAAAGCCACGTGGTCCCCGATGAGCTCAGGGGAATGGACAGAGCATCTCGGCTGACCTCTCTTGAGGCCTGTTTGGTCATAAAAACGAAGACCTCCTAGAATCCCAACAACCGAAGGGCGTTTTAGTCAATGACGGTGGCCAGTTCCCAGGACTGGGGATGCCTGGCGCCTAATCCTTGTGCTGCTTCTGTAAGATGCACCTAATGACCCTTGTTTCCCTCCGTGCGCGAGGGGGTCCGGCGCAGAGGCATTGAGTGTCCTGCAGGGTCACAGGGTCTGTGCTGGGACCTGGTTTACCGCTGGCCACACTCACGGCTGCACGGGGGCATTTCTACTTGGGGTCCGGCTACTGAGGCGCTGGACTGGTGAGAACTAACGTCGCTGTTCCCTGACGGCTTCCTTCAGGCCACAGTGTGCCCTTAGCCTGTGGGTTTGACCGTCCCTGGCCCAGGGCAGAGCCGGCCTTGGCTTTTTCTTCTCTCTCCTTTATCAGAATCCTCATCAACCTTGCTGTTACCGTCTCTCGCGGGGAGCCCCTCCTGAGGCATGAGCTTGTACTCGTCTCGGGGGGACCCAGAGGCCCTCTCGCCCAGGCCTTGTCTGTCCAGGCAGAGGGACGAGGCCCAGAGAAGAGAAGAGGCATTGCTGTCAGAGACCAGAGTCGGGACTTGAACTCAAGCCCCTGGCCCCATGTTAGTGCCATTTTCCTTACATCCTGTCACCTGCCTGATGGTCAGGTGTACGTCAGTTTGACCAGGGCATGGTGTCCGTGGTATATAATAAAAGAGTAAAGTGGGTGCTTCTGTGAAGGTGCTTTGCAGATGTGGTTGGCATCTACACCCAGTTCACTGTAAGAAAGACTGACTTTGTGGGTGAGCCTCATCCAATCAGTTAAAGACCATAAGGGAAAATGGAAGTTTCCTGAAAAGGAAGAAATTGTGCCCCAAGACTGTAGTACTCACTTCTGCCCGAGTTTCTAGACTGCTGACTTGCCCTGGATTTTTATCAGCCCAAATGATCGATGAACTTATGACTTAAAATTAATTTTATTCATATTTATCTATCCATCCATCCATCTACCCTTCTATTAATCTGCTTGTCTTTCTATCATCTATCATTTATCAATCATCTATCTATTCATCCTATTGGTGCTGTATCTCTAGAGAACTCTAATTGATACATTGTTCTAAAGGAACTTATGTAGCCACATAATTTTTGTTTTTGTATATAGATGACATATGCAAATTTAGAGAAAATACATAAAGTAATAAGATTATCTAAAAGGAATTTCTCCCTACTAAGAATGGCCAAGCACAAAACCAAACACACCAGTTAGCAGATGGGCTGGGAGAGGCTGGCTCGGCTTTCTTGGGGGAGGCACTAAGGAGGCTGATGGAACCGACGGTTTGCAGGGAGAGACATCAGTGTGCCCAGCCAAGGGCTACCTTTCTCCCATCTGTTTCAGGCCCAATAAGAAACAAGCAGAAAGTTTTGCAGTGGAATATAAAGAAAGGAGTTAGCTGGAACACGCACACACATACACATACACACACACACACGCACACACATGCACACACACACGCACACACACACACACATGCACACACACATGCACACACATGCACACACACACACGCACACACACACACACTTTGGCCTTTTTCCCTCCTCCTCTTGCTTCCTAGAACCCAGGTACACAGGTCAAGGGCCTCAGCAAGCATCTTGGACCGTGGGAAAAGCCATGACCTTGACCTTGACATTCTGGGACACAGAACAAATGCCAGCAGTGACTCCTTCTGGTCTTACTAAATTGCAAAACAAAATTCTTTCATGTTTAAGCTTCCATCCTTGATGCTCAGAGCCCTAGCGGCTCCTAACCTGTGCGGGCTGTGGCACGGGGTGGCCTGCCACAGGCAGTAGAAGCTGGTATTTGAAAGTGAGCGAATGAAGCAAGTGGCTAGAAAGATGCCATCTTGGTAAACGCTGCAGACAAGCAGTTGGTGACCTTGCGGTGTATCTGCAAACGTTTGTTAGACGGTGTCATCTACTAACCCCTGCTGTGTGTTTCACATGCCAGCCGAGGCTGGAGCAACGGGGATATGGCCAGAAGAATCCAGACTGTTGGCAGCAGGGTTTGGGGTGGGAGCCGAATTCCTCCTCCATCCAGGCTGCAAGCAGAGGCGCATGGAAACTGCTTTCCTGACTCACGTGCCTCCACGGTGGGCTGTAATTTTTGTGTGCACATGTTTATTCAAGATGATTTTTTTAAGACATGGCAAAACCCACAGGACATAGAATGAACCATCAGGGATGGGCACACCGTGCAGACCTCACCCCCGTTCCTCTCTAGAACCCCTCATTCCCAGGGGGACTCCTGTGCCGGTTAGGCACTGGCTTCCCACATGCCCTCCCACCACCCTGGCACCCCATCTCTGTGGTTTTGCTCTAGGGACTTCATATAAGTGGGATCCTGCAACGGGTGCCCTTCTTCACTTGGTGGGCACCTTCCTGTGGTAGCACGTGTCAGAATGTCCTTCCTCTTCCCAGCTGACGGGTTTCCTGTCGTCCATGCTCGCCGTGTTCGGTTCATCCATTGGTTTGTAGGTGGACATGGGTTGCTTCCTCCTTTGGGCCACTGTGCAGAAGTGCCTACAAAGAGGGGTGTACAGATGGAGTCCTGCAGGATCACAACTGCCCAACTCCGCCTGTCCCCGGAGCTGAGTGGCTGTAAGTGGTGACTTCAAAGTGGCAGCCCCAGCAGGAGGAGTGAACCTTCTCACCAAGCAAAGGTGCTGATGTCCTGGCAGAGAGAGGACTGGACATCCCCTCACGTCAGAACCCATCTTTTAGGTGCTGGGGGCTGGGGACTGTGTGGCCGGTAAGGAAAACAAGCAGCTCTGGCCCTGAGGACGTGTCTAGGTAAGGCCTTTGGCTCCACGCGCTACTTGCGTGGAATGGACTGGAAGCAACCAGCACCAGAGTGGGCCAGGTTCTGAGAGAACGTGTAACCACAGAAGTGTGGACGATTCCCAGGCCTCCAGATGCAAGGAACAGGAGGTGGGCTCCGGAGCCCAGGGCCGCCTGAGGAAGACCATCCCCCAGTGGGCCTCCGAGATGCAGCCAGGGAGACGGACACGCCTAGACAGACCTTCCGGGGGGAGAGCGATGGAGCCAAGGATGAAGGCAGACTCCAGGGCGGGAGCAGCGCTGGCCACGGGATGCCGTCTGCTGCTGAGCCGGCGGCCTCACTATGTTTAGGTAACTGTCAGGGGCCCTTGGCAGCGGGGTGGTCCCCATTATTCTCTTTTCCTTATGGGAGCTGTTTTTTTAAACAATGATCTTCCTTTTTTGGTCATTGCATGTGGGACTTGTTGGGGACAGACTCTTTGCCCTTTTGTTTTTAGAGCGTTGGTCACCAGGACCAACCCTGTCTAGAACTGATATAGGAGACTATCTCCCAGGGGTCCTGGACACCCCAGTGGGAGGACCAAGTGCCAGTGAACGTGGAAGGGATGGTGTGTGTGTAGCTCAGAGGTAGACTGTGGTGGACGCTCCTAATCCTTGCCAAAAGAACCCCAGTTTTGTTGTCAGCGACAAGTACATGGCTAAAAAATCAAAAACAAAACAAAACTCCAACAGCTCATGTGGTGTAATCTCTGGATGGCATCCCACTTGCCTTCAGCCCTTTCTTCCAATCAGGAATGCAAAGATGATGGCTGGAGCACCGGCAGCCAGTCCTGGGGCAAGCACACGAGAATCCCATCCTGGCTCCTGACGACAGCCTCATGGACTGCGTCAAGCCGGACTGACCCCTGGGCTTTCTGCAATGTGAGACACGGAGGGAACACCCACCTGTGGGCTTAGTGGCTGAGATTTGGCTCAGAGTTCCAGGTAGCTGCACGCAATCCCTCGGTGCTGTCGGCTTGAATTTCTGAGGTCCCAGTCGGGTCACATGAGGTCGCGTGGTGGCCGGGCAGTGAGGAGGACTCCTGATCACAGAAGCAAAGTGATTTGCCAGAACCAGGAAGTGGGGCGTCGAGGCCTCAGGATATCTCCCCTGGCCACCCCTGTGAGCTGCACGTCCCACTTCCTGTCGGGGCCCTGAGAGAGTGACAGTCGGTCGGTCATCGTGGGAGACTTTTCCAGGGCTGGGGGAGGGGGGACAATGGGGAGGCTGGGCAGTCCGCTCACTGAAGTAAGAGAAGCCCATCAAGGACAAACCGTGCTGACTCGAGGCCCTGTCCCTCATCCTCGGACGTCAATGCGGGCTTCCTGAGCCCCGGCCTGTTGGGTGGGGAGCCGCAGCTTCCTGGGAAGGACCCGGCTCCAGCAGCCCTTGCTCCAGGCTGCGAGGGTGCAGCCAGGCCGCGAGCGGGCAGGGAGGTGCGCGGGGATGCCATCTGTCGGAGACTTGCCCACCGTGTCCCTCCCCGTGCCCCAGTCCCTCAGAAATGCTACTGAGCACCAGAAGAGTGAGGGGCAGCGCTGGCCCCGAGACCTCGCAGGGTCCGCGACCTGTTGCCTGCTCTGAGCCTCACGGGTTCTGCTTTGCTTCATCCCTGGTGAGGGCTCCCGAGCCCTGGCCTCCTCGGCGTCTGTACCTTCCCTGGCTTCTGCCCGAGGCTCTCTGCCACGTGGCATCGTGGCTGGCTGTCCTTGGTCAGGCCATGAGGTCCCCTGTCCCTACCTCCCAGGCCACGGCTCTCAGGCCGCAGGCCTCAGGTCACAGCTGCCACCTCCCGCTTGGTCCTCCCCCACAGCACCTGTGCCACCTGCACACAGTCCTGGCTGGGGCTGCGAGGGAGGAGACTCCCCTGATCAAGACAGGGACATCCCCGAGAAGGTGGCTCTGCCCTGGGGACCCGGCAGGACCCTCTGGGACTGGGGACTGGACAGAGAAGTGGGACCTGGTCAGGGAGCTGCGGGGCAGGGTGGGGCCCACTTCTGCTCCTAGGTCAGGGGGAGCAGGAGGATGAGGAGCTAAAGAACCCTGCGGTGGGGCCGGAGGTCACAGCAAAGGCTGAGAAGAGCCACAGCAGGACCCGGCCTCGAAGCTGGAAAGGATGGGGGCGGTGAGCACAGAGCTGGGCACTCCTCTGGGGACGGTCTATGGCCTTTCATTTTCCATGGTTTAATGGGCCTCCCTGGTTTTGGAAAGATGGCTGTGGAGGAACACAGGAAGGGGACAGGAACCTTGTGAAAAAAATGTCCCCGTGCCAGAGGTGTACAGCATGTTCAATATCTTAAAAAATGGGCTTCTCTGGGCAGGGGAGAAGAAGGGGTCTTAGTTCATGTTGTGCTGCTATAACAAAATTCCACAGGATGGGGGATAATTTATAATGAAAATAAATTTATTGGCTCACCATTCCAGAGGCTGGACGTTCAAGACTGAGGAGCTGGAATCGGGTGGGGCCTTCCTGTTGCATCGTCCACGGAGGACAGGGAAAAGAGGGCAAGAGACTGGACTCCAGCCTCTAGGTCTCTTCCACTCGATGGCTGCACACCTGCCTAGACCCCGCCCACCAGCACTCTTGCACTGGGAGGTAAGTTTCCAACCCACACTCTCCGGGGACACATTCAAACCAGAGCAGGGCAGTGGCAGCCAGGTAGGTCACCTCGAGTGCCACAGTGACTTGGGCGGGGAATGATGTGGCAGGCTGGGGGAGATGGGAGAGGTGGGGACCCTGGAGCTCCAGAGAGGAGGGTGCATGAGAGAGGAGAGTGGGGGAACCCAGGGCCTGGGGTGGAAGGGGTCAGGGCTGAGGACTTGGTGTCCAGAGCTGTCACAGCCACCTTAAAATGTGCTCTTGCTGGGCTGTGCGGTGGCCCCAGCTGCCTCCCCTTACCCCCCAAAGCCACAGAGTGCTTGTGCACACAGGTCTCAGGATGGAGAGGTCATCATTGATTTGGGGCAGAGAGAGGCAGCAGCCCCAAAGCCAGTCTGAGAGCTGGGGAATCGGCAGATTCAGGGGGGACCTGTGAAGACATCAGCCCCCCAAGTACCTCCAGAGAAGGGAGGGGCTGCTGAGCACCCCAGGCAGGAGGGTGGGCTGGAGACTGGGAGTGGGGCCCTGGTCTGCTCTTCAGTTTACAGCAGCAGGGCTCAGATGCTGTCGTGGTAGGCACAGGAGCAGGGTGGGTTTGCAGAGGTTTGGAAGAGCGGCTGCCAGGAACAGGCGATGGATACAGAGGTGGTCCTGCATTGCCCAAGCCCTTGTGGAAAACTGAATCAAAACCGTTACTGTACAGACGCTTCTTGATTTACCCTGGACATGTGATAAACCATCCTTAGTCAAAAATATTGTCAGTTTTGATGTATTTGAAACACCTAACCTGCCCAGCATCCTAGATTAGTAACAGCCTACTGAGGAGTGCGGGTGTCTCCCCGGGCATCGTGGGGCTAACTGGGAGCTGCGGCAGCTGCTGATGCCCAGGAGAAGATCAAAACCCTACAGAGGAGGACTATCCTGCATGCATATCGATCTTGACCACTGTAAAGTAAAAAATGGAAAGTTGAATCATCATAAGTCAGGGACCATGAATGTATCCCTGGGAAAGTTGGCTGCTGGGGTGAAGGGGTTTCAGGGGTGAACGTTTCTCAGATGGTCTCTCCTGGAGGGAAGGGTGTGGCAGGGAGGGAGGTCAGCGGGTGGGGAGGAGCATCAGGGCAGAGAGTGCTTGGGGTCTGAGAGGTGAAGGGGAGATTGGAGGCCCCAGAGTATCAGCTGGGAGAACACTGCTTGCTTTGAGGCTCCTACATCTAGAACATTTCACATGCACAACGGGGACTAGGTTAATATTCGTTGAATTCATGGAGGACAGAAGCCCCCTGGATGATAGTAATCTTGCTGCCAATGGCCCTGCTGATTTCCAGTTATTGCTGGTCAGACATGAGCCACAATCCCAACGTCTGGCCACTTCTGCTGCCCTGGTACAATGGAGGTGCTCAGCTGTTATCGAGTGTTGGAGGTAGGAAGGAGAAGACGCACCAACTGGAAAGACCAGGCCCCAACTGTGTGAGCTCATGGCCTATGGGCAGAGTCGAGTCTCCCAAACGCACATGTTGATGTCCTGACCCCTGGGACCAGAGAAAGTGACACAAGGTCTTTAAAGATGTTTAAGGTCAATGAGACCATTAGGATGGAACCTCATCCAATCTGACGGGGTCCCCACAGAAAGACTACGTGAGGACAGAGACACAGAAGGAAGGCCACGTGAGTGCACAGGGCAAGATGCACCTCAAGCCTGGAAGGCAGCCCTCAGGAGGAACTGGCCCCGCGGACACCCTGATCTTGGACTTGCAGCCTCCAGAATGTGAGAAAATAAGTGTCCATTGTTCAAGTCGCACAGTTGGTGGCCCTGTGTTATGGCCTCTTGATCAGACATTATCAACATGGACATTCAGGCTCACGGGTGGGATGGGGTGAGACACACAACCAAGGTAGGTCCCTCCCACCAAAGAAAGGGGAAGGACACTGGTCCCAGGGCAGAGCAGGGTCTCCTGAGAAGTTAGACCTTATTGTTTTTTAAAGTGTCCAGTCTGTCCTAACTCAGTTCTTAAAAGAATACAATAAATGTAACATGTTAGACGTAAAATATGGTCAGAGTGTCCTCACCCTTGGATATCAACTCAAGGTCAAATCACAGTGTCTAAATGCCTCCTCTCAATATCTGTTCTTGTCCCATCTTGTGCAGGTGACAGGCAGAGAATGGATGTGGTGGGAGTTGGAAGTGAGTCCACTTCAGCTGGTGACACATATTCTATAGCACTGTTCTACAGCACTTGGTCACCCAGGTAGCTAGCTGTGTCCTGGGAGATCCAAGGGGCTGTCAATCACCCCCTCCAGTGACAGTGCCCCGAGATGTAGCTGCTGGTGGCCTGGCCTGTGCAGCTGAGAGGCCCCTCTCTGCATCAGCAGAAGGGATTTGAGAGGGGATGGGAGGAGAATCCAGATGTTGCTCACCATGGTGTGGAGTCAAGGCGACTGAGGAAGCTAAACTGTAGCAGGATGCCTGCAGCTTCGCTTCGGGAGAGTGGCTGTTCCTTGGTGGAGGAATCCCTGGGGCTGCAGATGGACTGCTCGTGGTCCTGGGCAGAGGTCTGTGAGATGGACTTGGGGAGAGGACCACCGACGGGAAGGGGCTGGCGGACCCGCAGAGGAGCAGCACTGGGTCCCCGTTCCTGCTGAGGCCCGGGGTCTGAAGTAACCCAGCCCACAGGAGTGAGTGGATTCTCCAGAAGCTCCCCATCTGTGAAGTGGAAAGAGGATGGTGACCGGCTGGAGGTGTCCCGGGGAACATGGCTGGGTGGAAAGCCAGGTTGACCCGGGAAGCAGGTGGCTGAGGCGGGCTGAGGGCAGAGAATGGACGTGGTGGGAGTTGGAAGCGAGTCAGAGGGACGGAGATCTTGGACTGAGTCTCTTAATCTGAGCATGTCCAGGTGGCCAGACCTGGATGTGGACAGGTGAGTCACTGAGGTGGGGCCAGGTGAAGGGCATTGAGGAGGGGGGATTTGCAGCCAGGGTGTGGGCTGGGCATCATTCAGGTGTGGAGGTCTCAAGGCAAGGTGGCAGTTCTGAAGGGGACAGGGAGATTGATTGGCATTGCCAGGCGCCACACTCCACCGGGAAGGGGCAGAGTGCAGGAGACCAGGGGACCGCAGCAGCAGGGAACAGCAGGCGGCAGAGCCCAGTGGTGTGCTCTTCACAGGCAGGGGACCGTGCTCAGGGGATTAAGGGGGGTCTGCCAGGGGCAGGTTACAGGGAGACAGCCCATGCCGGGAAGGCCTGGGGTGACGCAGAGACCCCCCAGGGCTGCAGAAAGCCAGGTCCGGCTGGGAAGCAGAGGGTCCTCTGTGGAAGGCTGGCGCTGAAGAGGAGCGCTCTGAAGACCAGACGGTCCCGGGGCTCCGCAGACATGGGGTGCAGGAAAGGAAGGGCAGCGGGGAGCACACCCGTGATGGGAGGGGCTGCCTGGAGGGTCGCACTCCTTCTGTGCTGGGAAGGACAGGCAAGGGACAAGCCCAGGAGGAATGGCCTGCCGAGCTGTCCAGCTGTGGTCACAGGCAGTGACGAAGCTGGCTGTGGTGTTTGCCCTGACTGTACATGCTCTGTGGCTAGGAGCTAGCTGTGACCCCCGACACACACACACACACACACACACACACACACACACCTCGCCAGCCTCCAAGGACGTTGTCCCCTCTCCCCTGCAGCCTCCTATGGCTTCCAGACCAGTGGCCTGCAGCTGCCTCCCCGCCCCTTCTGCAGCTCTTCCGCTCTCGTCTCCTGGGACAGCTCTCCTGCGGCCTCCTGGGCTCCCTCCCTGTCACAGCCCAGCCTCTTCCCTGTGGCCTTTCAGCCCCCTTCGGGCTGGGTCCCTCTGCAGGCTTGTAGGTGCTGACACCTGCCTCCCCACTCCCCACCCCATTCCCTTTGGACCCTCAGTCTCTTCCTCCTTTTATGACTTGGGTCTATGCTGCCAGCACGATGGGAAGACATGGAGGTTGCTGTCCACTGCCCATCTCCAAAGTATAGCTGCCATGTGCCCGCCCAGCGATCTTGTGAAAACTAGTCACCTTCCCACGACTCAGTTTCCCTGCAGGCAGAGTGGATGGCAATGACACTGGCCTCCTGGGTTTGTGGCACTTACTGTGCTAAGCTGCACGCGGTGGCAGACCATGACTGCCAGATGACAGCAGAAAGCCACTCTCCTTTGGAACCCTCGTGGAACCCTCGTGGAACCCTCGTGGAACCCTCCCTCGTGGAACCCTCGTGCAACTCCTGTGGCGCCCTCGTGGCCTGCTGTGGCTTCATTCTGAGAGTGCTTATGCTAAGTCCTCATCAGACCAGTCCAGGACACGGGTTCCAGCTGGCGTGAGTTCGCGGTCTAGCTGCTGGCTGTGTTGAAGGCCTTTCTTTACGTCACATTTGTCATGTGCTCCTAAAGTTTGTGTGGGGGGAGTATTTTTGTTCATTTTGCCCCCCTTTCCCTGTGACCCTGCCTCTGTGGGGGCCTCCTGGTTGTCCGGTGTGATTCCCTAGGTTCCAATCGGACCCGAGTCTCTCAACGACAGGGCTGGAGTTCTTGTTCTGCAAAGATACTGGGGGCATCCTTGTCCCAGCCACACAGCTGGCTCTCTGGCCTCTCCCGTCTCCACTAGTAGACCAACGGCGTCTTATTAATGGGGGCTTCTCAACCTCAGCCCATGGAGGGCTGTCCTGGGCACTGGAGGGTGCACTGGGTGCCTCTGGCAGCCTCTCTCCAGGGTGACAACCCAAATGCCTCCAACCCTTGCCACACATTCCCTAGGGACAATCCCTGCCCCAGCTGCTGAGATCCATTGTCCCAAAGCCACACCCTCAACCAGGGGTGGCCACTGCCTCTCACAGCTCCTGTTTCTGAGAGGCCAGGACACCCAGGAGGCCCTTGGGTTTGGCTTTCCTGTCGGCCGTTTGTCCTCTAGTCGATGGGGATGTTTCGCGGGGGTGAGCTTGGCTCTGCCTTCTGGATTTTCTTCATTTGTTCCATCTCCTATGGTGATGGCCCGGAGCACATTCACACACCAACCCGCTGCTTCACTGGATGGCAATGTCCCTCCCTTCTGCCCTCCCAGAGCGGGCTCCTTCTTCCAGCTGTGACCGTCCTTTTAGCTTTAGCGCTTTTGCACCACCCTGCCTTGGCGGGTTCTGTGGGCCGCTGGGTGGCGGTGGCTGGCTGGACGGGTATTTCACTGTGACTGGCTGTCTCCCGCTCTGGGCTTTGATGTTAGCTCCCCGGGTTTCTTTGCATCCTGGGGGACAGCTGGAGTGAAGAGGTGTTTTGGAAACAGGAGTGCTGGTCTCTGTTGATTGATACCAAGACCCCCGAGTCTCAGGACAGCGCGTTCCCTGCCTTTTTAGAGCTTCAGGTAACTCCAGCAGGTTCTCTGTGGGACAAAGTCTCCTAAGCACATGGTCATCTTAGAGGTAGGGCAGCCCAGGATGCTGACCATCTGGGATGGCCAGGTTTACTCCTGTTGTCCTGAGGTCCTTGACAATGTTCCCATTCATTCTCCAAACTGCCCTGCATTGACTGATAAAACGTGGTCACCTCATGTGGAGACGCCAAGCCCCTCCCCTTATTCATAGACGTGCAGGTTGAAATCACGTTTTCCTAGCATTTGCAAAATGTTTCTCCATATTCCCATGAAAAGACTCAGTGAAAGGCCTTGCTACCCTTGTGTGTTTATGGATACCTTCAGTGGAATGGGGACTTATTAAAGACCCGTAGTCTTTGCATACTTTGCCGTGTTAATAGACGTGAAGCAACCACATACTGTCTGAAAGATCTTTGTGCTGCTCCTATTCTGTGCTTTGCATGAGAAATCTGGACTTTACCCTTGAGATTTGATTATGTTTGTCTGTTGTAACTTATGAAAATCACCAGGGGCTGGGGCTGTACTTCAATGATGCAGCCCTTGACCTGTATGCACAAAGCCCTGGGTTCAATCCCCAGTACCGCAAAATAAATAAATAAACAAAACTAAAAAGTTTTTTTTTTTTAATTAAACAAACCACTTGGGTGGGCAAGGCCAGCTTTCACACTGAGTGATCTCCACGCCCCTGGGCACTGGGACTGATCTGCTGTGTGCTGGCCGGAAGCAAGCCGCACAGATTCCATGGCAGAATCCATCAGCTTGGTGCTGGGCGCACATAGCCAGCTTTCTGCCTCTCGATGCAATGCACCCTCCATTGCAAGAGTGTCCACAGGTGGCTCTTTCATCTGATTAGTTCCCGGGAGGACACTGCCTGGCTGGAGGTCACAGTTCACCCTCCTCCTCCAGGCAACCTTGCACCTAAACACGGATGTGAAAAAAAAGGGTTTTACTGCCTTCAGAGGGAGTAGATTGGATCTTTCCAGGCTTCCATAGTTTCCTAGAAAAACTAAAACCAAAATGATGGATTTAGTCTAATATGAGCTGGGAGAACCCTGCCAGGGAGCTGGTTATCCACCCCTGGAGAGGAAGGGTCCCTCGACTGCTTTCCGTCCACCATTCATTTCAGCCTCCAAGTACCTAAGTCCCGTCTGATGCTGCAGCTTCCTGCTTTCTTCAGGGTGAAGGTAGTCAGGTCACTTTTCCTGGTGTCCCCCACTCAGGACTCAGGTTCCTGCCCAGCGTGCAGGTGCGATGGGTGCTGCCCCCCAGGGCAGGCTGGCGGTGATCCCCAGCTGGCTGGAACAGAGCCATGCTCTGCTGGATGGTCTTGATGCCTATACCCTTGGGCAGAGCAGCGGAGCAATCTGTGTAACCCCACAAAGCCAATTACTCTCTCTGCAGATGGCCTCCCCACTAATCCTCTTGGGCTTGCCATAATCCGGCTCTCTTCTGGGAGCTGCCGGGGTGGTGGTTCTTGATACAAGTGGCCATCTGCTCAGCAGAGGAGGTGGGTGCTGGGGCTCTGGGCCCTGGAGCCAAGCAGAGCCAACTGGAGACCTGTCTGGAGGAGGGCGGCCAGCCCTGCCGCCCAGGGGCTCACACCAGCTGCAGCGAGAGGCAGAGTCCTGCACGCCTGACCTTCCTCCACTGGACGTCTGCTGCACCATGTCCAGGTGCTCCCTGGAGGATGGTGAGTTGGCAGCTGCCGTGACCGGCAGGGTCAGCCACGGAGGGGCAGGGAGTCGCCCTCTGGGAAGTCCCAGAGGCAGGGAGGCGTTTCTTGTGCAGGATGCTGGCAACGGTGCCAGGTGGGGCCTCTTCCCCAGCCTGCCAGGCCCTGGGAGCAGAGCGTGTCTCAACACAGCCTGCAGAGCCTCGGGTCCCCGCTCGTTATTTATGGGGTGTTAGCATCGCAGCCTGTCTGCTCTCCCACCTGGACCTGCAGGGAGAACAATGCAGTCACGGGAGCCAGGGAGGGAGGAATCCCTCCTGGGGACCCTCCTGCGGTCACCAGAGTGGTGGGAACCGCCAGGCAAGGGTGGCTCGTGGTACTCCCAGGGGGCCCAGCTTCTCTGGTGGTCTGCAGACGGTCACTTGGCCGTGTGGTTCCCCTGACCCTGTGCCTCTGCTCTGTACTGTCGCCAGGGGCCACACCCAATGCCACCTCACCCTCTGCTGGAGGATCCCTCTGCAGAGGAGGAAGTCCCCACCCTCCCTGGCTTCTGCACAGTGACAAGGAAGGGGTGAAGGCCACTGTGTCCTGGTGGTGCTACCTCAGAGGGAGGAGGCCCTGGGCGGGCATCAGTCCCTGCCTGCCCTGCCTTCCGGAAGGTGTGTGGCCTAGAAATGCCTCTCACAGAGACAGCAGGAGCGTCCCTCAGGGGAGTGTGACTCTTTACCCTCTTAGTTACAGAGACATCTTCTAGAAATCCTCTTACGAGCCTGTGACCTCAGATGGGCGCCTTTTCTTCTTCTGGGGGGAGGAGATGAGCTTGGTGCTTCAGTTTCTGTGTGTGTGTGCGTGCACGTGTGTGTGGATAAGTGTCTGTTAAGGTGGGCTGTGTGTGTGCTAGTGTGTGTTGGTGTGCTCGTGTGTGGCGCGGGTTGAAGGAGGCCCGTGTGGGGGAGGCCCGCAGCCAGCTGTTTGCACCAGGACCCTCATGCTGGCCGGCAGCGTGGCCCTCTGCTCTCCGGCCCTGGGCTCCCAGGTGGAGATGGAGGGGCTGGACGGCAGGAGGCCTTGGTTCCCCAGCCCCATGGCCCACCACGCGGGGTTCAGCGGCCTTCTGAGCTCCAAGTTAGAGAGCCCAGTCCTGCAGCCTCCCTGTAAGACACAGTTTCCAACCCTTTAATCATCCTGGTTGTTTCCTCTGAACTCCCTCCAAGAGACCTGTGTCACTGGATAAGTATGTCGTATAAATTAGCCCGTAAATCAGTCTGTCAACAGCGGCTCTTGAGCAAGCGCTCCGTGTCCTGCTGAGGTACGGGAGTGACACCACGCAACCCCACAGGCGAAAAGGGGGGTCTCAGCCTCCCTCATTCCTAGGGTTCATTTGTCCAGCAGTGGCTTCAAGCTCTGGGGACACATGGGAGGTCATTGTTCCTTTTTTTTTTTTTTGGTGCTGGGGATTGAACTCAGGCACTTAACCCCTGAGCCACACCCCAGCCCTTTTTTGCATTTTATTTAGAGACAGGGTCTCATTGACTTGCTTAGGGCCTGGCTAAGTTGCTGAGGCCGGCAGTGTGACCCTCCTGAGCCGTCGTTGTTCCCAAAAGATCAAGCTCCCCAACATTCGCGTGTGAAAACCCTGCGTTAGGCCCCTACCCTGCCCAGGCTCTGCCAGGCACTGTGAAGGTGACCACAAGGAGCGGGAAGCAGTCCCTGGACAGCAGGTGAGGGGCAGGTGCACCAGGAGGAGGCTAGGGGCAGGTGCGCGAGGAGGACAAAGGGTCCTGGCAGGAGCCAGCTGCAGAGGGGCGCTGGTGTTAGGATGACATTACTTTTCCTGACACAGTATGACCAAGAACTGAGAACGGGGAGGAAACCAGACCTTATTTGAAGAGTGATTTCACCCTCACTAGCTGCATGGGCCCTGGGCGACTCTGATCTGTCTGAGCACTGGGATCTCTATATCCCTAGGGGGACGGTGCCCTCCAGGGAGGAGTGCCTAGGCTGAGATGAGGTCCCGCACGGTGTGTCTGTGCACAGCAGGTGTCCCCTGGGTACCGCCCCCTCCTGGAGACCCTCTGCGGACCAGTTTCTGAGCTGCCCAGCTCTCTGGGTGCTGTGCATTGGCTCCACCACGCAGGCTGGGTGTGAGACCCACACATCTGGCAGGTGACGTGTGCGACAGGACTGTCCCTGCCGTGAACCCTCAAGTGATGTCCTTCACCTTGGAAGGACAGTGTGCCATGTATACTGTGTCCTGTGCTTCGTGACTCTGTCCTGGGCAGCAGGGTGGTCGAGCTTTCTGGCTGGCTGCACAGGACCCTTGAGCGCAGCACCAGTTTGCTGACTGGGAAGAGCACTGGATCCCTGGCGGAGACCTCTGGCTGGCCTGTGGCTGACCTGTGGCTGATACAAGCCGAAAGGCAGTGAGGTTCGAAGCCCCACACTTGAACTTGAGCGGCCCCGAGCCCTGGAGTCCAAGGAACAAGCAGATGCTCTGTTCTCCTCTCTTGGAGCTCCTGGTTCGGAGGGAATGGGCGGCTGATGGTCTGCCTTTCCCAGCAGCCCCCAGGGGACGCTGGGGCTGCGGGCCCAAGGTCCAGAGCCTGCTGAGAACCCGAGAGGAGGAGCGGCCCTGGAGTTTAGTGGAACTCAGCCCCGTGAGCCCACCTCCTGGGCCTGTTCTTTATTTATAAACCTTTACCTTATGGACTAGACTATTATCTAAAGGTAATAATTAGATGAATTATTTTATAGCACTTTGTAAACTATAAAACACAATATAACTATTAATAGCTTAATGTTCCCCTTCAGCTTTAACGCTCCTATAAAGTGAGGATAATAATGGTAATTTATATAAAGATGAGGTGAGATGATCTACATAAAAGCACATTGTGAAATATAAGGAACTACAGAGACTTGTTCTTAGACCCTCCCCAGCCTCAAGGTCCTCGTCGACCAAGTGAGGGGTGCTCAGCGGCCCATCCTGTGTGCCGACGTTGGTCACGGGACCGCTTGCTGTCGTAGGTGTGGATAATGCATGTTTGTGTGCCCTCTTGGCCTCTTTGGTCAAAGCTACATTTTGGGCTACAGTTACCAACTAGGATGCTTCCAACTGCGAGAAAAAGACCACCTAGCTAAGAGTGCTTTAAGAATATGGGGTCTCTTGTCCCATCCAACAAGTCCAGAGGCAGGATAGTTTGGGGTTAATTCCCTGTACAAGTAGAGACTGAAATTCTCTTGACTTTCTCCTCACGGTCACGTGGTAGCTGCAGATGAGTGGTGGTTACAGATGAGTCTGTAACTGTGTCCACTTTGTTGGATGAAAAAACTTTCTCAGACTCTTGTCATGGCCCAGGATTGTATCACACACCCCACAGCAAAGGAAGCAGAATTGCTTCATTGGCTTAGGCTGGTCCATTTCCAACCCCAGGGCCTGAGAGGCCCCAGAAGCACATGGCCTCCCAAGCAGACTTCTATCCACTAGTGAGGACTGGTGCACGAGGGCTGGAGAGAGGTGACCCTCAGGATCTGCCGTGCTCCACCACCTCTCCAGTGGGAACTGTGTCCCTGGTGCTTTGCCCACAAGCCACCAGGCCCACACACCAGAGGCCCTGCTGGCGCTGGAAGCGCAGCCAGAGAGGACCCCGTGGAGACTTCCCCAGAGGCACCTGTAGCCCTCAAAGAGGACGCTGCGTTCCTGGGGGCCAGGGCCAAGAGTCCACGGCAAACCAACCTCCTACCTCTGGGATGGCCCAGAGGCTGCGGGTCAGGCGACATCCTGGCCTGCTGGACGTGGCTGGCCACAGGTTTCTCAGGCCAGCCCTGGACCCTGAGGATCCACAGGGAGTGGCACTCTGCTGCCCTGTTCTGGTTTCCTCCTGAGCCTAGTGCAGTCCTGGTACCTGCGGGAGGCTCCACCATGTGCCTGAGTGCTGGCCCGACAGAGACTCCAGGGTCCTGAGCAGAGCAGCGGTCGGTGGAGAGCGGAGGAGCCCTTGGTGGGATGGACTTTGCTAGCATTTTGGGGAAGCCACGTGGGGGGGTGTTTGGATGGCGTCCTTCCTTCTCCATGGGGGCTTGTGCGGCCAGCAGAGGGCTGAGTCCCAGCGTTTCCTAAGGAGATTTTCCCTCCCGCCTGGGTTCAGGCATGGCCAGGCAGCCCTGAAAGGACGGAGGCTGGGCCAGGGGCCACAGCCCTCAGTGCCCCTGCCCTGCCTGCCTGGGGGTGCATGTCCCTGGACCTGAAGCCCCCGCCCCCTGCCTGTGAAGTGGGGAGCGGGTGAGGTTGGGCCCTGGGTGTGTGCAGGACCGAGGCAGCTGTGCTCTGGGAAGGTAGAGCCGTGTCTGCCTCCCCCCACCCAGGTGTGTGATGCCTGTCGGGGTCTAGCAAAAGCCCTTCTCCCAGCGAGTTCCCAGCTGGCCTCATGGTCAGCACAAGAGCCAGAGAACGGCAAAGCCGCGTGGATCTACTTGCTCTTCTGATTCGATCCGATTTTACTGGCACTTGAAAGGGGACAGGAAGCTAGGGCCTGGGGGGCCTGTTCCCCGACCAGGGCCTGGGGGGGAGGGGAGTGTTCCCAGACCTGTCCTGTTGTTCTTGTGGTGTTTGCTATAAAAGCTTGGAAACCCGTGCGGGAGAGGGTTGCTGGGGCTGCTGGGTTCAGAGATGTGGCTCTCAAGTCTGTATATGGGGGACCCGCCTGTAGCACAATGCGCTCCAGAGAGGGCTGGGAGTCTGCATTGAAACCGCGGTCATCAAAAACCAGAAAACAGGATCAAACAGTCATGCCCAAGCTGGGAGCACGCTTACAATTACAGCCACTCAGGAAGCTGAGGCAGGAGGATTGCGAGTTCAAAGCCAGCCTCAGCAATTTAGTAAGGTTCTAAATAACTTAGCAAGACTGTCTTAAAGTGAAAGTCTAGGGCTGTGGCACAGTACTTAAGTGCCCCTGGTACAAAAGAAAAAAAAAGCAATGCTCAAACTGGTTTACAAAATGGAAAGTTCTCAGGGAATAAAA